ACCGTCAGTGATAGCTTCAAACTTCGCTGATTAAGATCCACTCGCATATAATATATATATACACACACTGTATATATACAGTATATATACGCACTGTGGTATACATGTTTTGTCAGACTTCTAGTTCCAGTTTGACATTGGACATAGGTTGGCCAGATTGGTAGATCGATTCGACGAGTTGACCTTCTCCTGACGAGTTTTGAAGTGATTGTTGCGGCCTTCAACAACCTTTTTGTACCTCCCTCAGTGTTCAATGGCTCAAGACAAACAAGAGCAGAAAAAGAAAGTGCACTTTGCGTTGCATTTGTTACGATTCTCAAACCAAATTTGAAGAAATACCGTTTGACTTCTTCACCAGATTAGCAAGCAGATTCCAGGCACATTCAGTTGTGCATTCGAAGCTTGATCGCGTTCCCTCTTGGTCCGCCAGCCCATGGGAAACCGAAGTGCCAAGCATTTGTGTGAATCCATCGTTCCAGACCAGGATCCCTTAACGTCGATACCGCTGAGTGGGCGGATTGTGCATGCTGACATCACTCGTGACTTTGATATCAAGCCAACAGTGCTGGGAACAGGATACTCTGGCGCCGTGCGCTTGGCGGAGCATAAACTCACAAAGCAACAGGTTGCAGTGAAGCAATTTAGCAAACATGGTCTAAAGCCTCACCGCCTCAAGCTGTTGAAGAGTGAAGTGGAGGTGTATCTCCGATTGGACCACCCAAACATATGCAGGCTTTTGCATGCTTACGAGGGCAGCAGGGATGTGTGGCTTGTGATGGAGCTATGTCAGTGCGAGCTCTACACCCGTCTCTGCAGGAGCAAGGTCTATTGTGAGGAAAATGCTGCAGATGTCATGCGGCAGGTTCTGCAGGCGATCAACTATTTGCACCTGCACAACATTGTTCACAGGGACCTGAAATTGGAGAATTGGATGTATGGGACCTCATCCACAGACAAGGACCGCTTGAAGCTGATAGATTTTGGCTTCTCGGAAATCATGGCAAGTGATGACACAGTTCTTCAGATGCCTTGTGGAACCCTGCACTACACCAGTCCAGAAGTGCTGAGCAGAAGCTACAGCAGCAAGTGCGACCTTTGGAGACTTGGACTGACAACCCAATATTGGAACAGAACAGGTTGGTCAAGAGGCGGTCACAACAAAAGCAAAATCTAGACGCGATCACAACAAAAGTTTGTCACTCCAACACATTGTGCCCCCCCTCCAAACATTTGCCTTGAGCCTGGGAAAATACAGGCTTTCATTATTGCATTTGACATTCTCTAAATGTTGTGATCCCCACCAAGATAGATTCTTAGAAACGCAGATCACTTTTACTGAATCAATTTTCTAATTGGCTTGCGATGAAGAATTCGTTGGTCTTCCTTCCTTTTGGTTTCCTCTTGGTCTTCCTTGAATCAGTAGGTATCCAGTTTGTGAAGGGCAGATGCTTCCTGCTATGAAGTGACTGTAACTCGAATTGGTGCTCATTGGTGCTTTCTTTGGTTGTTGTTTAAGCGGACCTTGAACTCTTTCCAGTCTATTGTGGGTTCGTTTTCACATGATGCTTGGAGAGTGAACGACAAAGCCAATTGGATAGACATGCGTTGTAGGTTCCAGCCTCTTCATCTTTCTTGGCATATTGAAACTTGCACTTCAACTGCACTGCAGGCTTTTTTGAAAGTTTCAGAACGGACTTGTTTACCCTTGGCCCTTGGCCAACTTGCAAGGAGTGTGGGTGTCATTTGCTATATGTTGCTGGTTGGGCGACCTCCTTTTCGCGGGGCTACAAATTCCAAGATCGCACATGCCATCATGAATGTCGAGTTCCCCAGAGATGGGCGCTGGCAATACTTGTCGCTGGATGCGCAGGACTTCATTGAACGGCTTTTGAAGAAGGATGTTGCAGAGAGAATGAACGCCAGTGAGGCCCTGGAACATCCTTGGCTGAAAGCTCGGAAAACGACCCCTTCTTTGGACATTGGAACTGATGTCTTGAAGAGCTTGAGGACGTTTGCCCAAGGTTCTCATTTGCGTCGAGCAGCTCTGACCATTTTGGCCTATAGTTTGACCTCTGCAGAACTCGAAGGTTTGGAAGAAACTTTTTTGGATTTTGACAGCTCGGGACGAGGCACCATCAGTCTTGAGCAGCTGAAAGAGACCATGCAGTCGCGCTTGCGTGTGTCCTCCGAAGAAGTCGGACGGATTTTTCACAGTTTCGACTCACAGAGTGAAGAGATTCAATATACCCCCTTTGTGGCAGCTTTGCTGGAGACACGGATAGGGCATCACGAGAGCAAGGTTCGAGCTGCCTTCGAAGCCTTCGATGTGGAGGGGAAAGGCTACATTACGGCCGATTCGTTGGTGCATGGCTTCAATCGATTGAGCAAAGGCACGCAGAAGAGTCTCTCCAAAGAGGAAGCGGAGCACTGGATCCGGGAAGTGGACTTTAAAGGAAATGGTGTCGTCAATTACACCTCATTCTTGGCCGCCCTAATGGGAAAGAGTTTGCGCGGATTGCCTTCTACAGAAGATCTTGCAGACCACCCAACCTTGAGGATTTTTGATGACAGCCCGGATGGTGGTCGCCCTCGGGGCTTTACGGAGTCCTTTGCCTCAACCACGGCGAGTACCAACACGGTGCGGCAGCTCCTGAATGATGTTGCAGCTGACACAGACTCAGACAGCAAAGAGGGAAAAGATGGACGAGACGTCAGGGACAAAGATGGACGTGTCAGATCTAGATCCTTTACAGGCTCTGTTGAATGCGCCGAACGAGTGCAGATCCGAAATATGGCCTGCGAAGTAGACGAGCGATACTTTGCATGATTGCATTTTTGCAGCAACTAGGAGCAAAGGGCATCGCTACTAGGAGCAAGGACGCTACAAGGGGCTCCTGGCATCGCTACTAGGAGCAAGGATGCTACTAGGGGCTGCACACAGCACTGAGGTTCAGCAGGCATATTGGTGCAAGTGCCATTTGGCCATTCGGTCAGCTTCGAATTCGCAGAACATGCACAGTTGACTATTGGTTGACGGTGCTTGTGACACCTGCAAGCTTTTCCTGGGCTTCCCTACATATGGATGAGGTGAAGAGCACATGGGAAGGTCGTCTGCCATAGGCACACGGCTTGTCCATTTTGCACCTCATAGATACGTAAACAGATTGCGTCGATGTTCCCCAGGAAATGTACTGTAACTAAGCAGCAGGATTTCATACCCACCAAAAACATATCATTGTTTCATCCACAGCCATTGTGAAAAGCTCCACGATCAAGTGCCGATTGCATTGGAAGCGCCGCATGATACTTGAAGAGATCATGGGAACACCCAAAAATGTCAGACTCTTGCCGCCGCTGTAGACTGCGGCAGAATAAGGTGTGAAGAAGCAAGGGCTTCTCAAGCATCGACATGGCTTGGTGCAGTTGGTACTTACTCGATGCAAGAACACGCGCCTGAAGAAACAAGACTTAGTCTGATGTCTGATGCGAATGCAAGGACACTTACCTTGACACATAAATTGGCTGTTGTAGCTTCGGTAAATGCTCTTTCGATTTCTTTTCAACTTGATTTTGATTGGTTGCCAAGAGGTGTCAGAGCCAACTGCGGTTTCTGAGCTCCCGCTTAGGCCCAAGTAGAGGCTTGATGTTCAAGAAGAAACAAGAATTCACAATTGTCACAATTTCCTTTTCCACAGGTTTGACATGTCGACCTATTGCTGTACACAATTTGTGGTTGCTCGCCATAGACTTGATCGAGTACCAGATGCATTTTGGAGAGTCTCGACAGCATAGACTGTTTTTTGCTGGTGAACTTGCTGAGCTTTGGAGCTTTTGAGTGGAACGTCCAGGCTCTCTTTGGAGCTCCTTGCATCAACGCCTCAGTGCAGCTTGGCCTAAAGGACCCATTGAGATTTGTAAATCTTTTTGAACAGAGGGACATTTAAAGCTTGCCTCCCTCAGAACTGAGGTGAATGGCACCGCAGTGAAAGGCTTGCCTGAAGTCTGTAGGTGGGATGCTGAGATTCAAACACAGACTTCACTATCCCTTGCTACTGAAGGCCTTAGCCTTAGACATCACTATCCCTTGCTGCTATGAACTATGAACAAACATGCACTTTTTGGATGTTCTTCCTACGAGAATCCAGATGAAATCATAATATAGACAGCATACTGTCAAGCTGACTTGTTTCATGTTCGACCTTTTGTTCCGTTTTCGTTCACTCTTCCTCATGCGCTAATGTGCAGGCTGCCAGCCCAGAGAGTCTACGAGCAGCGAACGCAGAGGTGTCCTTTCCCGTTTGGCATGCTTATGCTACATACCTGAAGACCTGAAGTGACTTTCAGGGCATACCTGGCATTTCACAGCGCAGTTGTGAGGTTTTCTCTGATATGGCACATGTTTTTTGGAGGAATGGCCACATGTCCGTCGCCGACTTTGCTCTTTGGGAGCCTACCTTGGGGACCTTGTTGGTTGCTGTCCCTTGTGAAAAGCTAGTGCAGAGCGAACGGATTGGCGGACGCAAGCGTCATGAGCTTGATATTGTCTGACATTGTCTGAGGGCGAAGTGTTGGAAAGGGCATGGCACTGGATATTTGGCAAGATTCACAGCTTTGGCAAGATGCCACTGGATATTTGGCTGACTTCTATGTCAGTGTTTCACGAGTTTCTGCATTTTTGTAGCCTTTTCCAATCAGGCGAGGACGCTGTGCTGCCTTCTCGGGAGGCGAGGATGCAGAGTATTGTCTTTCAAAACTTCTGCTATGAGACAAGAATGTACAAGAAGCGTCTTATGATTCGCGTCAAAGCAACTGCATTTCACCCCGGTAGTAGAGACATTCTTCCTTGCGACTTGCAACCTGTTTGACATTTACTGCTTGTGAGGCTGACACCCGCTTGCCACTCTTCTTACGAATCCCGAGGCCTGTAGCTTCGCGGTGCCAAACACAACGCGGTGATTTCCAGATTTGAGGGCTGAAGTGGAAAACTGTGTCAATTTGCTGCGCACAGAAGCACTCAACGGACTGCTCAGGGTTCGTAGCGATGCTGAAGGTGGTCCCAGAGGTGGTGAGTTGAGTCAGACCACTGGGTTCATAGACTGGTTTCCAAAAGTAAGCGCCTGGAGGTACTATGCTGGACCGTGTTTCAGTCCCAGACTGGGGCTTTGATCCAGGCTTCTGGGGTTTGCCTCAGATCATTGCCAACGTGACGGGTGAGGCCAGTCTGTTGTTCATAGTGCCGTGCCAGTCTGTTGTTCGTCGTCGTTTCGTGTAGTGTAGTCTTGAGAGGCAACCACGCATTCTGTCTCGGCCATCCCCACGGCACATTTTGCAAGGAGTGGTGGGGTTTGCAAAGAAAGGCCGAACAAGAGAAGTTACAATGGGGATAGCTTTGTGGTGGGTCATTGCTTCAACCGCAAGGGCGCAACCCTGATGGGGAGGAACTTGGATGTTTGGACGTTTCAGAGAGGCTTGATACTCATGCATAGGACAGCAAGATCGAACTGGCACCTTCCTGAATGGGCTCAGCGGTGGCTGGAACATGATGCAGAACATAAACAAGCCCGCTCCATCTCTTTCAATCAAGAGGCAGCACATGTGCGGTTGTTGCTTTCTGCACTGCAGAGGGCCTTTAATTCTGTGATTGGATCACCGCCGCAATCATCAAAGTCCACAGCTGTATGTGGCTATCTTGTGAAGTCTCATGGGCTTATTGTTTGCAAAGCTCACACGTGAACAAAACATGCAACGAAGAAGACATGTGATCACCTCGCAGCTAGATAGCTCTGAGACTGACGGACCCAGCATTGAAGCCCCAAGGCCAGCCTTTGCATCGCATTGAGTCCACATGTCATGTCGCATGCGTCGCATGTGTATGAGAAGCACAATTGACATTGAGTGGTTAGCATGGTTACAGTCCTTCTTTGCCGGAGTCTCAGAATTTTTGTGACAGCTTCAAAATCTTCAAATTTCTGCCAACAGTTTTGCATCCCAGCCCAGGTGCTGCTAAAAACTTGACAGAATGCAGGCTCGCCTACCAAGTCACAGTGTTTTCTGCTGCCTTTGATTCCTGTTGCTATTGGTCCGCTTTCTATTTGCATGTCTTGGATGATGTCGCTTTGTTCTGTAGAGATTCTGCAATTATAACAATTGAAGCGCAAAACCAAATTCACACTTCAAGGCACGCACCATATCAAGGGATTGCCGAACCAGCTGCACCACGCAGTAGTCCTTGATTTGATAGCTGTTTTAGAGTCAACATTTTTGGAGACGGACACATGACATAATATCGACTTACAAGCAGAGCCACTGAGTCACCATAGATGGCATTTTTGAGGCTCACCGCGGCTTGTGTCCCCCAAAAAGAAGCAAGACCTATGCCAATCCCTTTGTCAGAGCCAGATGGTGCGACCAGCACGGCCGGCGTGGCTGGCGCGGCTCCCGTGGTGTCCCTCTTGTCGCAAAAGGTGAAAGCTGGCAACGAGCATGTGAAAGGCACTGCAAAAAGAAGTGAAATGCATGACATGTTTGTTGACATGATTGTTGGTGGATTTGCATATTGTATTGAGCTATAAGACATTCTAAAAACCATCCTGCAAAATACACATCCACATATTTCCAATCAATTCCACATGGCCTGCCGAAAGGCCTCGTGGCTAACTTGTGGCGCTCACGAGAGGATGGAGACTTTGTTTTCAATGTTTGTGGAGGTTCCTTGAGAGCTCACGGATGTATTTTGTCTGCTGCATCCCCGGTCTTTAAAGCCATGCTGTCCAGCGGAATGTCAGAGGGCCTTACCTCCTCTGTGTCTGTGGATGCGGATCCGTCGGAGTTGCTGGCGATGCTTCGCTTCATTTACTTGGGCGAGTTGGATGCCACCGGACAGCAGCTTCCAGGCAGAAACATGGCAAAAGGTTGGCAAACTGGCCCCTAGTAGCTTCTTGTTACTAATTAGTGGCGATGCCAGGAGCCCCTAGTAGCTTCTTGTTCTTGGTGTTTTGAAGATGATGGAAGAATGATATGACCCTGCCAGGTGTCTTGGAGCTAGCTCACAAGTACGAGGTGCTGAACCTCATACCTCCGGTGTGTGAAGCAATGATTGATCAGTTGACCACTGACAATGCGGTCTCCTACGTACGTGTGTTGCGTCTGCTTGAGGGCGTGCCGTGTGAGTCCGATAGGGAGGAGACTGTTAAGGAATCCGCCGTGCAAGCTTGGATGGCACTCCCTGGCACTGAGACCCTCCCAAGTGTTCCACCTGCCAACCGTGTGACCTGCACGGGACTATCACAACCAGTGCAGCCTGTGGAGGCGTTTTCATGGCGTTTCCACGTTTTGCTTTGAGCCGCTTTAAGGAACAGTCATGTCTTCAGCTGAACGGAATGGCTGCATCTATGGGCGTAAATGTGCTTTCAGTATGTTAGATGCATGCACTTTCTGCTTGCAGCATGAATCCTCCACTTTACGACCGTGTCATACCTGCGAGGCAGTCCTCTCCAAAGAGCAGCCTGCACTCGCCGAACCACCGCCCACTCCTACAGGACCGGGTCGTTTGGCTTTGCCAAAGAGACAATTGAATACAATTGAATTGATTTACCTAGTTTTCAATGACACCATCTTGGAACGCCCATACCGCCCTGAATTATGCATGGCACGACAAGAAAGTGGAAGATGGACAATCGTACTATAGCTGGAGGTCACTCAAACAGCAAGACTCAACTGATGTCTTGCCTTTGGTTTTTTGGAGTCTCTCGAGAGTTTGACGCAGCACATCGCAGCACCCATTTTTGTGTGTGCAACAGGAGACGAGAGAGTCTTTGAGGCATCTCCGACTCTACGATGCAAGGTTTTCTTGGGGGTTCAAGCCAAGCTTGCTCAGCAAGCACTGGTCATTTTTCCTACCAGCCAGCCTGATTTTACTTGTCCATCTATCTAATCTCCAAGGTGCAAACGTTTATTTGACATTGCAAGTGATCCGGATAAGGATTGCCAAAGCTTTCAGAGCAGTTGGCAGGAAGCGACTTGGCTGTGTATGGGGGATGCAGCAATCTTTTAGCTGGGGGCCTTATCATGTTTTTCGATGGTTCTGTTAGCGATTTCTGATTTGTCCTCGTACCAAGTACGACATTTATCAATCGTTTGGGTGCTCTTGGAGAATCCAGGATTGCCGGTGACCCTGAGCTCTTGATGGCAACCTTGAGATCGTTGTGACCTGATTACCAGATTTCTATGTTTCACTGCTTTAGTCAAGAAGCGTCTGAAAGAGTCCGATGCTTGATCGAAAAACTCGCTCTTGTCCCAAAAGGATCAAAAAGAAGAGCTCGGTGTCCACTGAGTCCCACTGCCTGCTTACCAAGCTGCAGGCTGCGCGGGCTGCTTCTATCGAACGGTTTGTGGATAGGGTGCTGCTGAACGCGAAGACGAACCTGGCTGCAGGCAGTGTTTGGGTTTGAGCGGAGCAAAGCATGTTCCTATGAGCACAGGTATTAGAAAGGACCATATTAGCATATAGTTGCCAGCTAAAGACCACGTCTGAATCTGTAGTGCATTCCACAGAATTGAACAGCGAGAGGTTAGGTACCGAGGGGCTTTGCCAAGCTTAGCGCATCATTTGTGCTGCTTGAAATGGAAAGACAAAACGAAAGCAAACGCTAAGCAGCACAAATGTTAAGCAGGGTAAGGGATTGATATGAAACACTGGTCCTTGTCCATCAGGCCAAGTACCAGCGAGTTCGGGCAAGCATGTGAGCCGAAGGCCTTCAGTGGAGGGATAGATGAAGAACAGCAAGAGGCAGTTGGTCTTCCTTTTGTTTTCTCCAGATGTTTAGGGCAATTTGCGCTACCTGCAAGCCTACAAGCATAGACATGTCAAGTCTAGAGTATTCTTGGCGCCAACTATGCCCAAAACGAGTTTAAACCCATGATTCGCTTCTTTCTCAAGATCAGGGAACCACGGGAAGCACGGGAACCACTGCCTTCCATTCCTGAGCAGCCTGTGCAAAGCCTGAGCCTTTTTGTGCGTCACGTTGTCCTGTGGAAATGCATTGTTTTGGTCTCCATAGCCAATTGTTTCACCAAGATTTGCCCATGGAATGGTGAAACCATCCGAGGCCGTGGCGATGGGGTTCAGGAGTTTGTGTCCCGTGTGTGCTGCCCCTACTGTCTCATGCCTTTAAAGATACGCTTGAGTCTGCAGATTGTGCGATTGCATACTTGGCAAACACCTCTCACGCTCTGGGTAACCAGAAGCTTCAGGCTAGACCACGCTGCGGAACATGTCCGCTCCAGTACTGGACCGAGCCTCTATCAGAAAGGCTTTCTGTAGTAGAAGGGATCCCATCCACTTTCAAGCTGGCCAAATAAATCACTGGGCATGGTTAGCCACTTTCATGGCACCTTGAAGACTCCACTCCTGATGATGTGGTTGTCTTTGTTGAGGTTCCTCATCATGCAATGGAGTGCTCAAGGAGTTAGCGGATGGGATGCATAGGATGCCACCGATGAAAACGAGTATCTCTATTGTCTATTGGAGATCAACCTCCAATCAGATTGGAGATCAATGTGGCTTGACAGGAGCCTGGTGTCCTGTCGAAACCTCAAAGATATTCAACGATTGGAGGAATGGAACATAATTTTTGAAGGCTCCCGCCAGACTGGCTTGAAGGCTCCTCGGTCTATGGATGTTGCGGGGACACTTTTTGACACCTTCCAAGGCCTCCACGGCCTCCATCTCAACCTGAGCCTGGTTCTCCCAGCTCACCCATTTTTGTGCGAGCCTTGTAAGCTGCACTGCCCTGACTTTGATTCGATGCATAAGAAACACAGTTGTGGAGTTGCAGCGAATTACAACACTTTCAACGTGTTATGAAAGCTTTCTCTCGACTGAACTTTCCTCTTGACCTTTGTTTTCGCTGCTGAGGCCTTGGCGACTGCTGATACTTCGGAGGAGGGCGCCTCTCTGTTGTCTTCGTCAAGATCTCAGAGAGCTCAGCTCCCTTCGAGAGAATGGCACAGATGTCTCGAAGGCCCTGGCCTTCCAGCTTGGAGATGTCAGGATGGGTGGAGGGCGTAATCGAAACCTTGACCCCAGAGAAGAGTTGTCGCGCCGTGTGGTCAGAGATAAGACTATATATATATATATAAAATGCTTGCAAACTTTTAAAAGCAGAACAACTCGAAAGGTATGTTCCAGATGGTCCCCAGTCAAGACTTTGCCAGCCAAGTCGAAGTTGCGGCAGGTCGAAGCGGCTTCCAGTCTTCGCTTCACTCGATACATGTACAGATTCAATACCATTGCCGGTGGCTCAAGAACTCCGACCTAGGTACGACACAAGGCACTTCATGTGACACAAGCATAGAGGAAAAGGACCGCGTTGCACTCAGCTTTGTTTTCCTTACTTTCACCCACTGTTTCAGGTTCCTTAGGGCACCTTATTTTTCAGTTGGTAGCGGGGCCGGTAACCCGGCTGTAGGCTAGCTTTTGGGGTTAGGACCACCTGACTTGGTTGATCACTTTCCCATCTAAGACCACTACACTATCCCTATCGGACCACCCCATAGGCCAGCCTCCTTTTTGTCGACCGCGGATCCCGGCATGTTGTCCGTCGCAATGAAGACGATGTTAGCCTGTCTGTTGGTGCTCGCTGTCGGTCTGAACTTTGACTGGGTTTTGGTGACGAAAACGGACCAGGTGCCAATCAAGCCGTTCAGGCCGGCAGTGGGCATCACAGAGGACACATTGTCCCGAGCATTGGAAGAGACTGGCGAAGGTCAGATGATTTTGAGGAGCACGGGCGGCTTTGCTGGCGAAGGTTCATTTGACAACAGTTCATTTGAGTTTCGGAGCCATTCGAGATCCAGGGGCTATGAGAAGTCCAGGAGCTACCATTTGACACGATTGCCCATCCACTTTAATCGGCGCAAAGCAGAGTTGATTGAGCGGAGACGGCGGGGGGCTATTCGTGTCCAGTTGCATGCATTGAATGCGTCGCGGACAGAGCATCGCATTCGACATCGTCGTATCGTGCATGATGTTCAATTGCTCGTCATTCATGAAGGGGCGAAAGGGGTGAACACAACTTTGATTCATTTCCCAAACCTGAAGGGTTTGAATTTGTTCTTGGATGTGTTCTGTCCCCATTACCAATCCCTCCCACTACCCATGTGGGGCCACAAGGGTGACCAGTTGAAAAGAGAGGTGAACAACAAATCCTCCTCGATTGGAAACCATTGCATGTACCATGAATTTAACAGCACAGTCTTGCATGATCCGGCCGTGGTACTTAAGGCTAGTCGCCACCTGATTGATCTCAGACCGGCCGGTGTATCCCCGAAGACTAGGTCTACTGCAAGTAAGATTGTCTTCGCATGTATTCCGGTGTGCATCACAAGTGCGATCTGCTTCATGCTTCCGGCACGGCAGCAGGGCCGCCTTCCCCCGCAGTGGGGCCCGGAGAGAGAGGCGACATATTCGTTTGCAGATTGGTCAAGGGATATTCTTCTTTGGACCATCATGAGCGATTGGGATCCCTCCCGGAAATGCGCGGCTATTCTGTCCCAGTTGACTGGTGGAGCACAAGAGTTTGCGAGGCAACTTCCACCCACCATCATCATTGCTGGAGGAACGATCAACGGCGTTCAAGTGGACCCAACCACATATGTGATGCACGAATTGGCGACCAGATTCGGTAGGATGTCGGAGGAGATTAGGTTGGAATCACTCGGTAAGCTTTATGACTTCCGAGCACGCCCAGGCGAGAAGGTGGACACCCTCTTAGAGAGGTTTGACGTTGTGCGCACTCCTGCTGCTGAGCAGGGCCGGCTCACGGTATCGTGGGAGGGGCTGTCATGGCTCCTTCTCCGAGCCATTAGCGTATCAGACAATCAACTGGTTCAGCTTTTGGCTCCTTACCAGGGGCAAATGCCGAGCACTCGTGAGCAATTCGAGCAGATGCGCACCAGCATTCGCCGCATGGGCCATATCCTCGAATGTTCGCCCGGAAACGTCGCACAAGCGCTTCGAGGTCGGGATTCCACCACAGCTCACCAATATGCTGTTCTCCCCCAAGAAGAACATGATGTTGAAGGGCCAGCCTGGTCAGAACATGATCCCTATGCCACCACCCATTGGACATCTCAGGACAATCGTCCCATGCACCAGCAATCCCATCCTTCCCACTCATATCCCTTCCCTTCGTTTGAGAATGTGGATAGCGGCACTGATAGTGATACAAGTTCAGATGATGGAGATGCATGGGGTCCTGATCCACAATCCATGAGCCCCGAAGATATCGATTCGCAAGCACAGGAACTGTTTTGGGCTTATTCGAAGGCAAAGAAGCAGT